ATATCAATTTTTTGGGGCCCAATGTCAACATTTAAATTTTTAGTTGTCAAATTTTCAGGTAGTTTTATAACTACATCTACATCTGTTATTGTTTGGGACCATGAGTAGTTATTATACACAGCACCATTGTAACTTTCTGAGGAATGGAAATTCGATTTTTCCTTTAATTCTTCATTAATGCATTTATTTACACTGATGTCTATTCCATTTAAGTCGCTCTTATTTTGATCTTCAATACTGGAGGTTACAACTTCTGTTTCAACTGTTGGTAAAGGTACTTGACTTTCAGGTAGAGTTTCTGTATCACGTTTGTTATGTGGTTTATATTTTAAAAAAGCCTGTTTGACCAAATTTTCAGCCCAGCCAGGAGGTAGTCCTATTGGAGATATGGGGTCTACAGCAACAACATAAAAGTCAGTCCTATAATGAAAGCATTGTTTTAAAACGTAATACTAAGGTGCTTTTGATTTTATAATTTACCTACGGCGGAGAAAACCAAAAATTGTGTCTAAAAATGTTGGGAGGGTTTTGCATTCCTTCAAAATGTTAAAAAGGGCATCGTCAAACACGTTTCCGTTATTCATTTAAAACCACTAATACATTTAATTAAATATCTCTTTAAAATGTGATTAATTTTATTCGTTGCTTTGTTTTTATAAAATTTAACTACCTACAACTTTGTCTAAATATTGTAAGGTTAACTTTTTTGACAATCATAGAAATGATCATAGAGTATATGCATAAGAAAAGGAATTCTATGACTGGGAAAACACCGCGATTTTTAAATTTTTAAAATCAAACAAGTTATAATTTTTTCGTTGTTTATTCAGTTTTAGTGTTTTAACTAATTTTAATTACATTTTACTTTAAAAAATAAATAAATTGAACAATATCATATGCAAAACATTGAATTAATGTGGAGGTAGGTATACTAATAGAATTTTAATCACATTTTTTTTAATTATTAATATGGGCAGTGTAAATACCATTCTATTAAATATTAATTCATTGCTATTAATACCTTAATTCATACCGTTATGTGTACAAAAATGTCATGGAAATGTGAATTGTAAAATGGTCTAAGACAGAGTTTGTATCATTGACTATTCTGAAGCGTGTAGATGAGTTCCAACAGTTCACTCCTTTTTCTTATCACAGTTTGTCTATCAACTAAAGGACAATTTTCAATTTTTCTGGATCTACAAGCATAATCTGCTATATGCTCTGCATTACATAATATATGAATTCCACAGTCATAACTATTTGACTGCTGCAAACTTGCAGCTTCTGTAAAAGCACCATATGTAGGCATATTGAAATACTGCAGGAGTTTTATACTCAATTCAAGAGCCTGCTCTTGATTAGAACCACGTGAAGAGTCAAAATGGAACATCATTCGCTCAGGATGAGAAAAAACCAACAAACTCCAATGGGACCCACCAGAATGATCAGTTTGCTCATTGTCGTTTAGTGCAAAAAATATAAATTCACGTCTTTTTGCATCTAGAGGGTCTAAAAATGTTCCCAGATCTCCTCTTCTTGACATCTTGACACATTGTGTTACATCAGGTGGAACAAATAACAATATCGGATTTTTTTGAAAACGTTTGATTTCTAAATATTCAAAGTAAAAGGAAATTAACGTATCATTAAGCCAATTCGGGCCTTTCAGGAGATCCACATCTGCTTGTCGTAATAAACTTTCGTGGAATGAGAGAACTGCATTTGTTGATCTACTACCCATTTCTATTTTATAGTAAGCGTTTAGTTATAGATACAGGACCACTTAAAATGTCGTTTTAAATTAATTTCAAATCTACATTTTAAACAATTATCGAATTTATTAATATCCAACTGCCCCGTGAAAAATAAATTAAAATGAAATTACATCTAAAAACGTCAAAAAGTAGGTTATGTAATTCTAACGATTGAAAATTTTAGTATTGCCAACCTATGTATTTCTACATCATCACCAGCTCCAGTTTTTTTTCTAAAAATAAAGAACCTACATATACTTAAGGAGTTATAAGTTTTTCTAAATTTTCTCAGGAATTGTTTTCTTTCATTTAAATATACTAGTTCTTCCCCCTGCAACCGGCCATTTCTATTACTCCTTTATGACGTAGTGTCGGCCATCATTCTTTTCTAATTGTTGCAGTTGTCGGCCATCATTCATTTGTAATTGTTGTAGTTGTCGGCCATCATTCTTTTCTAATTGTTGCAGTTGTCGGCCATCATTCATTTGTAATTGTTGCAGTTGTCGGCCATCATTCTTTTNCTCGATATAGTATATAATACGAAAGAAGTTTTTCTGGTCACAAATTTTTCCCTCCGTATGAAATAAGAAAGAAGAACTAATTTGTAGGATTTCTTTAAAACAATGATTTATAAACACGTTAAATTTCGTTTTACTAATGCATATGAGATGCCGGATGAACTTCAATAATATATATAAAGATTTCTGTAGTGCCGTTTTTTGGTACTGTACTTTGGAAGCGGTAGAAAAACGTATTCCTCTTTGAGCTATTATTCTCACCCAAGCGAAACAGGGTGCGTCTTATAATGTATAATGTAACTACACATTAGATAATTTAAAAGATTAGGTAAACTTGGATTTTGCGATAGGACATAAAAAATTGCTCAAATTACGCATGCTTCTGAGGTTTCCATCCAGATAATGTATTCGAAAAGAAGTTAACTGTTTCTGAATCCCGTAAGAGAGCAAAAGTTAACCTTGTTACGAGGCAGTTTATGCGATTTAATCGCCGGCAACATTACGATCTTGTCCCGGAATACCAAGTGTTTGCCGAAGAAATCCAGTGTGGTATGCACATCACATAATGTAGGTGTTTTGGGTCACTCGTTTGAATTTGATGGCCGCGATTATAACTGCAAAACAGCGCTGTTGTAATAATTTTTGCGACCTCTGTCTCTTCCTAGTTTTCAAATCAGTAAATTTCGCCATATGCAGGCATCAACATTTTAATTTCGCCAACTGGACTTTGTTTTTGAACGCGAACGAAACTATAATTAAGAAGAAAAACAACCAAATGCCATTTTGTTCTAAAATTCATGAATAATATGGCGCCGCATTAAAATTTTGCGGAGGATTCGTTTTTTATTAATAATGGACAAAACACCAGGTACTTCTAACACAATTTATTTAATATTATGCTAGCCCTCGCCATGGGTCGTTTCATTCTATTTTCAAGAATAATCTGATTTATTTTTATTCAGCCTTCAAAAGTAAGCTTTTTGTTCAAACTCAGAATTAGCTAAATATCATACTGCCCATATTAAATCTCATAACTCTTTAAATTATACATTTGTTGGGATAAGTAATAGTTTGCAGTAGATAATCTTGGCTTGAGCTAATATAAAGAACAAAATGTTGCGTGTCTAAATTTGAAAATTTGTTAAAAACGAGCTGAAATTATGAATTATTTCATTCAATTTCGCAAAAATGAGTTTCTTTTGCTTCAATTGTTGAAATGTTTGACTTATTATAGCAGGATGTAGAAACTGAACATTTTCTATTGTTAAATTATTATTATTAATAATGTGAACAAGTAGAACTGGATCTAGTTCTAATACTATATTAATATAGTAATTAATGTTCTTTGACTCTTATTTTTATAGCTCAACTATTCAATATATGTTTTTAACAATTTAACACAGTTTCGTAATGAACTTCTATTTTTGACTTTTAATGAGTTAATTTTTTTATTTACGTAAACAATATTATGAAATTTACGTAAATTGTATTTTAAATGTTAATCACAATGAAAGTGTGTAGAAAACAATATTTCTTGTTGTTTTAATATTAAAATAAATAATTAAAATTAAGAAATCATCTTACTCTCTACATAACGAGCAGGTTTGTTGCCTTTGCTGGATATCTTAATACCTTTATAATCATCGTTTTTATCCACTTTGGCTTCAGGTTAAAGAATATGAAACTCGTGGTTACATGTAATAACTTAATCAGAACTTTATCAACATTGACAGTACATGATCATTATCCCAATTACAGCCTTGTTTGGAAAATTTAATAAAACCTCTTGTTTGAGAAATTTACTTGTTTGTGTTCAATACACTGGGTTAGCTCGTTTAAAATAAATTGATGTTTTAATTTTGTGCAAGCAATTTATTTATCTTTGCAGTTTTTATAAAAGAAACAGAAATAGTTGGGTTATTGAGAAGTGTAATTCATTTCATTGGGTACGCTTTTGTAGATTTGTTTGTACAAAGCTAAACAAATTCTATAAGAAAAAAAGAATAATGAGAATCTCTTTCTGGGAATTACATGAGGGAAGATAATGGTCGATGTTATTTCTATCTATCTAATAAAAAAAAAAGAATAAAATTTCTGTTCGGAAACCAATTTATTTTGATCGCGGGATTCACAGTTCACTGACAGTGAAACAGTGAAACATTCGATTATAAATTTTACTTCAAAATAAAAACACATACCACCCACCTAACATTTACCAGCCATGTTCCCAACCTGACTGTGCTGCGTGTTAGACCTGGTCGTGAGGATTTTCAGATTTTTTGCGATGATAAAGGAGATTCGCTTGTTATCCTTACAAAAAGAAGAAGAGAAAAGCAAGGGACTTGTTTACGATTTGTAGAATTTATAAAACCTCAAAAGACTTATTTCCTGTGGTTTAACGGAGACCATATTTCTTGCTTTCCTTTGTTAATTATTTGCCAGTCTATTGATAAATCTGATAAAAAGGCGACATCAAGTTTGATTCGCGCGCCGAGGGTTTCCTACTCCTACTTTGTCAAAGACAATTAAGTTTAGAAAACATATAATTTTTTTTATTCTTTACATGAAAAGTAATTTATGACTTTTGTCGAATCAAAATAAGGTCAATCAATTGAAATTTATATGTGTATAGATATCCAACGTCGCTTGTGTCCAATACTTTTTGATAGAAATACATGGGCAAAAGATAAACATGCTTTGATTTGCTGATATTAATAAAACAGTACGAAATTAAAATATACAAAAACTAAAACAAAAACATTGCTTCTTAAATGAGGTCAAAATAGAAGAAATCGCCAATTTTGGATATCCAGAAAGTCAACTAAGCCAGGATTGAAAAAGTGGTAGAGAAATAATACAAAGAGAAGCACGAGAAGGAGCAGGCAATCTTNTGCAATTTTCTAAGCGTAAAAGTAGAGAAGTAAATATTAGGAAGAGAGTCAGACAGGGATGCACACCATCACCGCTGTTTTTTAATCTATACATCGAAGACGCGATCAACATCATTAAAGACAGTACAACTGTAGGGATAAACGTGCAAGGGCAAAAGATTAGTATGCTTAGATTTGCAGATGATATAGCAGTATTAGCATCTAGCAAGGAGGAGTTAGAGATAGCTTTAAACAAAATGGAAGCGGCATTGACAAAACAGTATTGTTTGAAAATAAATAAAAGTAAAACAAAAATACTGGTTTGCACGGAAAGAAGTAAGGAAAGAGCGAATATAAAGATAGGAGACGAAAAAAGTGGCCAAATAGTAGAAAAGGTTAGAAGCGTTCGAAATGTGGTGTGAGGTATTAGAAAGAGTAGGAGAACAGAGGACTCTATGGAAGTCAATAAGGAATAGGCGAGATAGGTTGGGGGGATACCTGAGGCATGAAGGTCTAGTCAGAGACATATTGAAGGAAGAAACGGGAGTTAGGAGGGGTAGAGGTAGAGCTAGATTAGATTACTGTTCGCAAATAGTTAAGAATGTGGGTTGTTTTAGTTTTAGGAAAATGCAAAGATTAGCTCAGGAAAAGAAAGAGTGGAGGTACGTGTTCAACCAGTCTTAGGACTGACGACCTTATGATGATGAAAGGTGTATCATCACAATATCATTTGTCGATCATCCCTTCTCTAACATTATGCACATTTTCTAAAGGTTTTCAGAACGTGCATTGAAGGATGGTTTCTAAACCGCCGAAAAGACTGAAAAGCAAAAAATAATAAACCTTTATTTTATTAAGCTTAATAACTAAGTTCTTCAACTAATGTAAGTATACCTAAGTAATTTTGAGTCGGCACTAAACAATCAATAAACAATGATAATTAAATTACCTTAAAAAAGAAATAACCATTGCATTGTTAATTTTATTTAGTTATTTCTTTAAATTCAAGGTAATTTAGAGATATTTGTTTATAGATTGTTTAGCCTACCCCTAAGGTTAGATTTTTGTCCAAGTTTATATGAGACCAACTTCGGGATATACCCTTTCCAATAAAAAAAGAATTATCGAAATCGGACTATTCTGTCAAAAGTTATGCGTGGTCATACATTACAATCAGTGAGTGAACAACAATCAACAATCATCCCCTGTTTCCCTACCCTTAGGGTTGGAATCTTTTTTCCAAATTTACATGGGACCAACTTCGGGGTATACCCTTTCCAATAAAAGAAGAATTATCAAAATCTGACTACTCTGTAAAAAGTTATGCGTAGTCATACATAAAAAAAATGTACGCGTCGACTTGAGAACCACGTCCTTTTTTTCGTCGGTTAAAAAGTAGTGTATAATAGGATCTGTAACTGCATCAGCTAGAACAAGCCTATTGTGAAAACGTTGACAATTTAAAACAGGGTTTCTGTAGCAACCTTACAGTAGAAGATTCAAGGAGTATTTGATAAATAGCAATTATCGCCCCGTTAATGCCGCCGTGTCGGTACAACTGAAGCGGCAATATATTGCTGGCGACAGTTGGCTGTTGTTACACTTAAGCCCACACGAAGAGTTGTAACTCGTTCTTCGAAGAAGAAGAAGGCAGGAGCAAGACACATTATACGTACAAACGGTCCATGTCTATCTTCAATTTCTTCTTCCTTCGTTTGTCTTGTTTTTACAACCGCGTTTTCAGTTCTCACACCGAGTCTGCACGTTGCACTGTGCGGTTCGCGGTTGTCTGTCGGATC